CTCTTCTAATTATAGATATATAACTCAATTCTAAAAGGATTTTTCCTATTGTTAAATTGAATTAAACCTTTGAACATTTTAACTAATAAAATTATCAAGTTCAATAATTTATACCTTAATTCCTTAAGGATTTCGAAATGCTTAGTTTATATTCGGAGTCTTAAACTAATTATTTAAGCAATATTTTATAATAACATTTATGTGATTAATTAGAAAATAATTAACAGCTAACTTTGGACTGCTCTAAATTTTCAGAATCAGAAATTTAACTTTTTTAAGGTGGAGCTTTAGGGATTGTAAATAGGTATATATATATATTTAACCAATATTCAAGTTTATTCAAAAACGACCTTGAATTAAATACTCACATTTTATAGTTACAGTAATACCTAAATAGTACTGACTATTTTGACCTTTTTATTGATCTGTCTTAATAAATTGATGCTATTTTAAATAATTTTATAAGCACAATATCAAAAATCTGTTTAGATTTTACTTCACTTTTAAGTCAACAAATTTAGCTTTATCTTATAATTTTAGGACCTATTATCTTTATTATTTAAATATTAGCAATTCTTTATATAAAAGGAGTATTTTATAATGAATTAAGATGTTTAATATTTGGACTAACCTTAATACCTTATTCTAAAATGCAAGAAGAATCTACTTTATAAATCATTAAACAGCTATTACAATGTTGAAATATTTATTATCTAATAAATTAAATATTTTCTTATTTTTTATGTCATTTGTATTTTTAAATATTAATTTTAACAACTTTTAGCATACGATAAAATAAAAAACTAGTTTTAAACATTTATTTATAAATTGAATCAAAATACTTTTATTTAAAATAAAATTTCTTATTTATCTATATTTTTGTAAAAATAATTTTTTAAATTAGAATAAAACCTTAAAGGAGCAATCATTAATAATTTAATATTTGCAAATTACTTATTTCAAAAAACTTCTTATATAGATCATTGGCACTTGTAAAATTTAGTTTGTATGTCTCCCTCTATAATTTCTTATTACATGAAAAAAAATTTGAAATATTTTCATATACTAAAGAAAAAATAAAAATAAAAATTTTCATTCTATCATATTTAAGTTTTTTTATTAAGTTCTTATGCTTTTACATATATACTATTACTGCTTCTTTTTTATCTGCAAATCTTTCTATATAATATCTGTTACCATCTTTGTAAATTTTAAATTCCCATTTTTATCTTTATTTATTAAAAGATACACCTTTATATTAACTAGATTTAATGTTTAAATTAGATTTATTTAAATTTGATTAGTTTTCTTGAGTCAAATTTTAGATCTAAATAATTTAAGAAATATATTTATATGTTGATAAAAAATGAGGTATTATTACAGATTACTTATTTTTTATTATTATCATGCACTAAATTTTATTTATTAATTAAGTAATTTAAAAATAACTAAAAAAAGATATCTATCTATTTAGTAATTTAATAAACAAAAAAGTAGCAGAAATAAATATCAAGTAAACAACTTTAGTAAAATAGTGAGTGATGGGTACTAAAAAAGTAGAAGTAAAAAAACAAAATAAAAATGATGAAATACAAACTAAAAATAAAAAAGGCATGCTTGGTTTGTTTTTTGAGACAGTTTTAGAAATAATTGAAGATAAGTACACATATAACATTCACACGAATTTCTTTTGTTTATTGATTTTGATCTACATGGTACAAATATTAGGATATGTCTTTTCATCTTATATTCTTGATTCTTAGAAAGAACCAAAAATGAAAACTTTAGGCTAAATATCAGAATATTCTACTGGAACCTATTTTTTATATCTAGATGGTTAACAAAGAATGATTATTAGCACATTTTGTATAGTTTAAGTTCTTATGTATACATATATTATTTACCTGATATTGATTACTTTAGCAAAATATTTTAGATTAAAATCATGGTTGCTTAAGACTAGAAAAATTAGAAATTCAATTAACAAAAGACTAACAATATACTTCTTAATTTATATATGGTTACTATCCATACCTAATCTTGAAATTAATTCAGGAATCTCAAGTTGTGGCTAATATGGATTTTTGACCTAATATAATGGTAGCTAATGCTATAAAAAGCCTGTTATTTTATTAGTTACTTCATACTTAGGTTTATTATTCACAATATGCACAACAATAACGTTGCTTTTTTTCTACAGAACTTATGAATTTAATGATGCAACTCTCCTAAAAAGAAAGTTTAAAAATATTTAAGTAGTTTAAATGTCGCTATACTTTGCTACAATATTTAACTATTTCATTAATTTATTTCCAATTGATTTCTAATATATAACTATTGAAGCTATATCAATACTCTATGTATATGATTCAATAGTAAATATACCATTTAGACATAAGAAACTTGCAAAATTTTATATTTGCATTTCGATCTTATTTCTTTATTTAAATTCGGTTTTTATATTATGGTAAAAAAATATTTTCTTTCTTTTCAAAGACCTTTTTTACTCAAATCTAATTATTTCATGCTTACTCTATGGCTTTTCTTCTTCTATTTGGTAAATTAGATATTCTCAGGTGATGCGTATAAATTCAATAAATTTTGAGAAGTAATACCCCTAGATTTTAATTTTTTTATTCAATTAATATTATGATAATTTAAGGTGATAAATAAATATTAAAAAAAATAATTACTTATCCTTAAATATTTTGATTAAGTTAGTATTTAATTTAAATTTAGTAATTTAAAATAGATAAATTTCCCAAAAATCCTTATTTTCTTCCTTTCTTTTAAAACTAATTTTAAAATAAAACACTCTATTTTAATAACCTAATTAGATACTATGGTCATTTAGATTTCTATCTTGAGTAACTCTACCTTTTGGGGCAAAATTCTTCTACAAACGAATAAGATAAGTTTTATTTATTTGAATAGTTAATCTATCACAAAAATAATTGCTAAGATTTAGAGTGTTATTGTAAAGAGACAACATTCAAAGATGAAAAGGATAATTTAATAAAAGATGATCTTTTTAAATTAATAGATAGTATTTTCATTTGGAGCTTAAAGCATCCTATAACTTAAAAGAATATTAGCAATATTGAATACATATCTTTAAAATATATAACATATTTAACTAAATACAGAAATAATTCTTTCCAAGCTTACTACAACCTTAAAAGTATCCTAGCCAAACACCAAAATTTAAGCTTATATTTTAAGACTCTTTCAAATATTCTATCATCTAAAATAGAAGAAGAAATACAGCATTAATAACAAAATAATTTTAAAAAAAAATATAATAAAACTTAAATCATCACTTAAGTCAATTAAATTAAATTAGTAATAGAAGCAGATAAAATTGAAAGAAAATTTATGCCATTATTGATAGAATTTACATAAAAAAAGTATGAGTATTACAAAATTCTAAAAGAATAAAATGTTTCTTTATAAAATTTCTTAGACTTAACTCTTTCTGTGTCTTCAAAAGCCCTAAAAATCTAAAAGGTTTACTCTTAATTATTTGTTAAAAATTTAGATTACCCTTTCTTCAGAAAATCTTATCGAGTATCTAAGGTACATTTTATTAATTATATTTGAAATTATTTAAATATTTTTCTCTCTCAAAACATTTATTTAAATGATATAGTTAAGGTAAGTTTACAAAGTCATAGTATTGAATGATTTATTTGCTTCTATCTAAGATGAAATTTACTTGAATGAAATTTTAAGGAATGATTAAAATAAATATTTTGATTAAGTTAGCAATACAGCAGTTTTAAGAGGAGATGTAATCTCAATGAAAGTTAGTTTTGCGAAAAACTAAGGAGAAATAATTAGCAACAATTTGTCTAAAATAGCAAATTATTTTGGGTACACTGATAAGGAGGTCTATAAAATTAAAAATATAAAATCACTCATGCCAAGCTTTATAGGTGACATACATGATTTTTTTGTGCAAAATTCAATATAAAATGGATTTTCTAATCTCTTTGAATAAAAGATGCAAGTATTTGCAGCAGATTCATAAAGTTTTTTAATTCCTATAAAACTCTTTTTTAATTTTTCGTTTGAAAACTAAAATGACTGTTGTATTTATAGTACTTTGCTTAAAAGAGATACAAATAATTCTTATATTTTATTTGATCACTTTGGAAAAATTTTAGGAACCTCATATAAAGCATTTTCTTAGCTTTTTAAAAGTAAACTTGACAAAGAGGAAAATGATAAACTCACTAATTTATAAAAAGACAAATAAGAATCATAATTTCAGAAATAGTAGGTAATCGAGTTTAAAAATTAATTAAAATTACTTTAATAATTTAAAAAAATTTTAAGAAATTTAAATAAAACTCAATATCTGTCTTTCTAAAATATAGCGAATGGAATATGATCACTATTTTTTAATAATATTATATTTTTTGTAAATAAAATTTTTACAAATAAATTTGATTAATGATCTTATTAATTTTAAATTAAAAAGAAGAAAAAATTAATTAATTAAATAATTAAAAAAAAAAATTTCTAAAATTTACTTTTTATAAGTTTCTTATTTATATATATTTTTTAATTAAATGAAATAGATTGAAGAGTATTTCAATGAAATATCACCGTCTTAAGTTTAAAATAATTTTTCTATATTTTTGATAATACCATAGGTCTTAAGAGTTATTAGAAAGCACTATGAAGAAAATGAATAATCAAGTTAAATAACTCAAAGTAATAATCTTAATTAAAATAAAACATTTACAAATTTGTGTCAAAATAAAATTTATAAGATTAAGATACCATATAATTTTCAAGATCTTAACACTAAACTTAATCAATTTTTAAGCTAATTCACTAGCTCAAAAGATAGAAATTTATTTTAACCTGGAATTGATTTTGCTTCTTACTACAGATATATTTCACAGTTCTAGAAGAGAAACTCTAATGTAATAACACTTAATTAAATACTTATTATTGTTTACAAAAAAAATACTACACATTATTAAATATTTCTTAGTTAGTAATTTTAATTTAATGAATTCTAAATATTAAACACTTTTTAAAAAGTTTTATGAAAATAGTAACAATCTGTTTAGGGAATTAGATATTTCTTTTAACTTATAACTTATTTCTTACTTCTATGAATAAAATCATGTTAAAAAAACCAGGTCCTTCTATTGTTTAGAACTAATAGATGCCTTTAAAAATAAAAATGACACAAAATAATTTAATCCTTTTTCAAGAATGAATCATCTTTATGAAGATCAAGAGTGTGTGACCACAATAGAGAACACTATTGAATCCAGTCATTATTCTTAAAAATTTTAAACAAATATGTCAGAAGATTAAAAAGAAAATAGTGAAATTAAAGATAAGTTATTTTTAGATTAAAAAAAGTAAATAGATTTTATATCTCTAACTAATGCACATAATTTTGTTAAAGAGAATAGCTCTCTTTCATCTGAATAATAAAAAAATTAAATATAATAAGAAGAAGATATTTAGTTTATAGATAGACTATATACTTCTAACTTGAATTAAATTGAGTTAATTTAAAAATGTAATAACTATGATAATGGTGTTTAAAATTTAAATGTCTAAACACATTATCCTCCTTCTTTGTTTGCTTCCCCTTATTTTTAAGGATAAACAGATAATTAAATTTAATCCGTTCCATTATAATAGTCTTCTACAAATGCTTAAATTGCAGAAAAAGAAAATGTTATTAGCAGCTTTTCATAGAGCTATTGTATGTTCAAATAAAATGCTGTTGATGAAGAAAAAAACAATTAACCAGAAAGCACGATTTTTAATATGATTAAAAAAGTAATATTACATTTAAAAACACATAAAATAGAAAATATTTAATTCATGATTATTATTATTATTATTTAATAGAATACTCAAAATATAGTTGAATCAGATCCAAAAAAGTTAAAAATGAATGGTTTTCCTATTGTATAAAAAAAATCTACTGACAATTAAGATTCGATAAATATATCATCAAATATAAAAAAGTTAGAATAATAAAAAGATATTAGTAAATTAGATCTTATAATGCACACAAGTTAAATTAATATCAGCAAAGTTAATATGGATAAAACTATCTATTAAGAAATTAGTTTTAATACTTAGCAAGATGAGTTTTTTAATAAAGAATTAAAGTTTAATTAAACATAGAGAGTATTAATAGAGTAAAACATAAGTGACAGTTCTCCTTAAAATAAAAAAACAAAGAAATAAAATGATGAAATTTTATTCAACTAATAAAGTGAACATAAATTAGAAAATAAAATTTAAGATTTAAATGAATAAAATATTAATAAATATTTTAAGAATGAAAACCAAGTATTTTAGCATCTTCAAAATTTATAAACAAAAAACTCTTCCTAACACTCTCTAAGCTCTTTACTATTAAAAACAAAAGGCCAATTAATTAATCAAATGTAAGATAAATCTAAATCACATATTACTGTTAAGATATTCAATATAATATCATGTAAATTACTAGCTATTTTTATAAAAAAATTTAATTAATATTATATTTTTATTTAAATAATTAAAAGTATTTGTCATAATAGCATTTATTTCTCTGATTATAATTTATAGTATTGTAATTAATACTAAGTTTAACATAGAGACTGATACTTTTTCTGTATGTAATTCGATTTCTGGAATTAACTAGCAATATTATAGAGCTCTTTTATCTATTTTGTAATTGTACCAAGTAAATAATGGGTTATTCTTCAATATCGAATCAATTATGAGCAAATAAAATTAATTGAACCAATAGCTAAATTAGTCAGTTTACAACTTTAAGAATAGTTATATTTAGTTTATGTCTAACTATATCTCTAATGGCCTGTTTTTGCAATAAAATTTTTCAGTAACAATCTTTAATAATAAGTAAGTAGCCACATTTAATTAAATTAAACTTTTTTTATCATAAAACACATATTTTCAAAAAATTTTTTATCATTTATTATTAAAAACAAACTTTTAAAAAATCTATTAGTTTTTTTCAAATCATTTTAAAAATATTATTTTTTCAATCATATTTTTAAAAATTATAATAATTCATTAATAAGAGATAATTTAAAATTTTATTCATAAGTTAATTTTATTTTTAAAATAATTAGGAAAGGATACTCTTAATTACTAAGAAATAATTTTGAATTTGATATGTTAAATTTTAAAAATATTATAAATTTAAAAAATTAACAAAATTAAATTGATGGACTATTCTACTTAATTTCAAATATGATACTTTTTAGAGAAAATCAATAAATAAATATGGAAAATGTTTATTAATAAGATACGCAAAATCAAAATAATCTCAAAGATTTTAATATTTTAATTATCAGCTTAACTATATTCATTTATTTTATTATTTTTTCACTAGCTATTTATTTAATATTGCTAATTTAGAAATACTAAAAAAAAATTTTGATGACTATAGCAAGAATATAAGTTTTTGAGTGTGAAAATAACTCAGCTATTTATAAAAAGTTTGTTCAAACTCTTAAAGATCCATCATCATCTTGGCTACAAACTGATTTTATTTCAACTAAATTTTTTTTACAAATTACTAACGAAGATAAAGAAAACCACTAAAATTCTTAAAATAGCCCAAAAAAGATGAAGTATTTAGAAAAAAAGCTATCTTTTATTAATTTTGAAAGTAGTTTAGCAGCATATACAAAAAGATCAAAAAAATTAAAAAGAAGTCAAATGATTTCAACTTCTTTCACTCATTAAAATTTGACTAAGTGGAAAAAATTAATTACCATAAGTTTGATTTGCTTTCTATCAATCGGATTTTTTAGTGTAAGTAACTTGCTAATTAAAAATTTTAATGATACTTTTAATTAACGCTCTCTTATTTTCTATTAATCTTCCTTAGCTATTTAGAATTTCTTATAAATGAAAGCCTTTTCTTAAATTCTCTCTAATTATAGATATATAACTCAATTCTAAAAGGATTTTCCTATTGTTAAATTGAATTAAACCTTTGAACATTTTAACTAATAAAATTATCAAGTTCAATAATTTATACCTTAAATCCTTAAGGATTTGGAAATGCTTAGTTCATATTCTAAGTCTTAAACTAATTATTTAAGCAATATTTTAAAATAAAATTTATGTGATTAGTTAGAATATAATTAACAGCTAACTTTGGACTGCTCTAACTTTACAGAATCAGAAATTTAACTTTTTTAAGGTGGAGCTTTAGGGATAATAAATAGGTATATATATATATTTAACCAATATTCAAGTTTATTCAAAAACGACCTTGAATTCAAAACTCACATTTTATAGCTACAGTAATACCTAAATAGTACTGACTATTTTGACCTTTTTATAGATATAACTTAATAAATTGATGATCTTTTAAATAATTTTATAAGCACAATATCAAAAATCTGTTTAGATTTTACTTCACTTTTAAGTCAACAAGTTTAGCTTTATCTTATAATTTTAGGACCTATTATCTTTATTACTTAAATAATAGCAATTTTTTATATAAAAGGAGTATTTTATAATGAATTAAGATGTTTAACATTTGGATTAACCTTAATACCTTATTCTAAAATGCAAGAAGAATCTACTTTATAAATCATTAAACAGCTATTACAATTTTGAAATATTTATTATCTAATAAATTAAATAATTTCTTGTTTTTTATGTTATTTGTATTTTAAAAATAATTTTAACAATTTTTAGCATACAATAAAATAAAAAACTAGTTTTTTAAACATTTATTGATAAATTGAATCAAAATACTTTTATTTCAAATAAAATTTCTTATTTATCTATATTTTTGTAAAAATAATTTTTTAAATTATAACAAAACCTTAAAGGATCAATCACTAATAATTTAATATTTCAAGTTAATTATTTCAAAAAATTTTGATTTCAATCAAAAAAAAAATTCAAGCTCCTTTTTTATTTTTTTGATAAATAGAGCAATTCTAGAATATTTATTAATCAATTAAATAATTTTATATATTTAAAAAAATTCTAGAATTATTAAATAGCTGGGCTTATAAAAAATATGTCGGATTTAAGTATAATTAATAATTCTATACTTATATTTTAAGCGCAGATTTACAAATAGAAGAATAGAAGGATATTTATTTGCTTTATTTGATTTCATATTTATGAATATTACATTTTTAATATTTCATTTTTAATATCAAAATCTCTAAATTTTAAAAAACTCTAGCATTTTATTGATTTTCTTGATTCAATTATTCAGGAAAGTTCATATCCTAAATCAAAATTGTTTTATTAAATAGAAAATCAATATGAACAATAAGTATTTATAAAATTACTATTTACTTTTAAATAAGTTGACAACAAATTTCTTTGATTCAATTGAAATTTGAAATAAAATCAAAAGCATTTAATAAAATTACTAGAAAATTTTGTTAAATATAATGAAAAATAATTAGAATGTAATTTTAGATATAAAGTGTTTAGGAAATATATTTATAGATTTATAAAAAATGAGACAGGTTACTTACTTTTTATTATTATCATGCACTAAATTTATTAATTAAGTTATTTAAAAAATAAACAAACAAAAAAACTATTTAGTAATTTAATAAACAAAGAAAGTACCAGAAATGAGTATCAAGTAAACAACTTTAGTAATATAGTTATGGGTAGTAAAAAAGTAGAAGTAACAAAACAAAATAAAAATGATGAAATACTAACTAATAATAAAAAAGGTGTTCTTGGTTTGTTTTTTGAGACAGATTTAGAAATAATTCAAGACAGGTTACTTATTTTTTATTATTATCATGCACTAAATTTTATTTATTAATTAAGTTATTTAAAAAATAAACAAAAAAAGGTAATTATTGAGTAATTTAATAAACAAAAAACTAACAGAAATAAGTATCAAGCAAACAAATTTTGTAATATAATGATGGGTACTAAAAAAGTAGAAGTAAAAAACCAAAATAAAAATGATGAAATACAAACTAAAAATAAAAAAGGCATGCTTGGTTTGTTTTTTGAGACAGTTTTAGAAATAATTGAAGATAAGTACACACATAGCATCCACACGAATTTCTTTTGTTTTTTAATTTTGATATACATGGTACAAATACTAGGATATATCTTTTAAACTTATATTCTCGAGTCTTAATAAGAACAAAAAATGAAAACTTTAGCCTAAATATCAGAATATTCTACTGGAACTTATTTTTTATTTCTAGATGGCTAAGAAAGAATGGTTATTTGGGCTTTTTTCATAGCTTAAGTTCTTATGTATGCTTATATTATTTACCTGATATTGATTACTTTAGCTAAATATTTTAAATTAAAATCATGGTTGCTTAAGACTAGAAAGATTAGAAATTCAATTAACTAAAGACTCACAATATACTTCCTAATTTATATATGGCTACTATCCATACCTAATCTTGAAATTAATTCAGGAATCTCAAGTTGTGGCTAATATGGATTTTTGACCTAATATAATGGTAGCTAATGCTATAAAAAGCCTGTTATTTTATTAGTAACTTCATACTTAGGTTTATTATTCACAATAGGCACAACAATTACGCTGCTTTTTTTCTACAGAACTTATGAATTTAATGATGCAACTCTTCTAAAAAGAAAGTTTAAACATATTTAAATAGTTTAAATGTCTCTATACTTTGCTACTATATTTAACTATTTCATCAATTTATTTCCAATTGATTTCTAATATATAACTATTGAAGCTATATCAATACTTTATGTATATGATTCAATAGTAAATATACCATTTAGACATAAGAAACTTGCAAAATTTTATATTTGCATTTCGATCTTATTTCTTTATTTAAATTCCGTTTTTATATTATGGTAAAAAAATATTTTCTTTCTTTTCAAAGACCTTTTTTACTCAAATCTAATTATTTCATGCTTGCTCTATGGCTTTTCTTCTTCTATTTGGTAAATTAGATATTCTCAGGTGATGCGTATAAATTCAATAAATTTTGAGAAGTAATACCCCTAGATTTTAATTTTTTTATTCAATTAAATATTATTATAATTTAAGATGATCAATAAATACTAAAAAACAACCACTTTTCTTTAATATTTTCATTAAGTTAGTATTTAATTTATGCTAAATATAGTAAATTTAAAATAGATAAATTTCCCACATAACCTTATTTTCTTTCTTTCTTTCAAACTAATTTTAAAATAAACCATTTCATTTTAAAAACTTATGTAGATACTATGGTCATTTAGATTTCTACCTTGAGTAACTCTACCTTTTAGGGCAAACTTCTTCTACAAACGAATAAGATAAATTTTATTTATTTGAATAGCTCATCTATCACCAGAAT